CAGAAAGACTCAAATAGGTCTTCCAAAACAATCACCCAAGATACCTTGCTTCTTGTTAGCTCACCTCTAGTTCCTTATACCAACAATCTCCAATCAGAGCACATCTGAGGCCTTCCCTTATTACCAAATAAAGATTTTCTACTCCCTTGCCTGCCCTTGAATCTCTGCCAAATGCAAGTTGCTCCCTGGCTGTAGCAAGCTCTGAATAATAACTTTTGTTTGTTCTCATCTGAATGGTCTTTGTTTATCTCCACACGTAAGCTTAGAGGAAGAAAAAAAGGAAAATTTATAAACAGAATGATACAATTATTTTCATTCTTCGATGTAATATTAGTGTCAGAAAGTGTTAAACTGCACCATGTAGAAGACCAGATGCGCCACCCTCCTAAGCCCAGATGTCAACCCTGACCCACAGCCCCGGCCCAGTGATTGTTTAACTGCTAGCTATCTCTTCCCATTTTGTTAGTATGGAGAAGAGCTGGAGAAACTGGGGGAGAAAAAAATCCATGTTATTGGAAAATAACGTTGCACCAGACACTTGAGTAAGCATTCTATGTGAAGTATCTCTTAAGAGTCTCATAGATATCCTTCATTCATTCACAGTCAATAAATATATCATGAGGATGTACTTTGTGCCAGACACTTTGCTAGGCCTTGAATATGTAAATACTGAGAAAGGAGACACTCCTCTCCCTGCCCCCACCACCTCACAGGATGTGTATTCTGGCTAGGGACACAGCTTAAAAAAAAAAAAAGCATAAATACACAATTACAGGAAGTGCCAGGAAGAAAAGTACAGGACATAATGAGAAACTTAAATTTGATTAGGCTTAAGGGACCCCTATCTAAGGAAGTAAATTTAAGCTACAACTCCCAGGATGAGTAAGTTAGCCAGGCAAAGGGGATAGGGGTGGGTATTGCACATCAGGAAAACTCTGTTGCCAAAGTAATAGCAAGTTTTGAAACTGTGAGGAAATGCGAAAAAAGCCAGTGTAGTTGGAGCATAGAAAACACCTAAGAGGGTAGTGAGAGCTGAAGGGGAGAGGTAAGGAATGCATTATAAATCGTGTTTGGATCTTAACAAAATAGAATGGAAATAAATAAATGAGTTGAAATAGGAAAATGACACGGATCATTTTGCTTTTAAAAACATCAGCTAGACGCTGTTATTTAGGGGATGAGTTACAAGGGGATGCAGAACAGAGGCTTGTTCGAGTGCCAAAGTACATGTCCAGGCAAAGGTCCCCTGGCTCTAATTGTAGCAATGGATGTGGAGAGAAATGGAAGAATTCTAAACATATTTTGAAAGTAGAATATACAATGTGGTCTTTGAACTGACCACATTCAGTCAATTCAAGCTCGGAAAATCACTTATTCCAATTTTCCTTTTCTTAGTGTTAGCAGTCCCAATACCAGACTTCAAGAAAGAAACTGCCCTATTATTGCCTGAGGTAGACAAAGTCACCTACTGTTTTATCCCCTTATTCTCCCACCTCTGCGTCAGAGATGGCCCAAGAGCTTGTTTGGACTGATGTGGTTAATTGTGTACGAGGTATCTGTGACTCTTCTTAGACCACGGCTAACTGGGCTGGGTTCCAACCAAGGTCCCTATTGACATAAAGCAGAAAGAATTCACTTTGATCCATGAGCACTATCTAAGTGGAAAGATGTGTCCATAGTAGCATTTTAACCCCAGGCTTACTTCCCTGAATACGTCCTACTTCTCTCTGTTTGTCAGAAACATACCTGCTCCTTCCTGGTTTATCTATTCCATGGTTATAAACATCAGAAGCATGAACTTTATTCCTATTATCTGTTTCAATCCTAAGATTCACACTTCAGAACACAATTCAAAATACATCATTTTAGGCATATAAACAAGATATCTTTCTTTTTAGCACTTATTACTGCCCAATCTTGTATTATAATTTTCTGAATCCATTTATTATTGGCAGGTTTCCTTCACTGGTGTATAGCCTTCATTGGGGCACAAAATAGATGTTCACTGCTTATTTGTTAGAGAATTAAGTGAATAAATGAAATTTACTGGTCAAAGATGACCAAGTCAAAACTAGGAAAAGGCAGTAGCATGAGAAGATAGAATTGGGGAAGTTAAAATTCCTAGCCTTAACTCCTACTAACATGGTATTTCCAGATTCTTTTAGAGACTATGATATTCTCACTTCAGCCTGTCCAAGAGGGAAGCCCTTTGCATTCTCTCTCTCTTCTTTTTTTTTTTTTTAGATGTGGAATTTGGCATGGAGAAGTTGGGTGGGAGGATGAAATACATTCATTTGTTGTGACAGAACTGGAATTGTAATTTAAGCCTCCAGAATCACCACCTATTGAATTTTCCAAAGTGTGAACTCTATCATGGTAGGAACTCTGCCTTTTCAGCTCTGTGTTGGTAACTATATCTTCCAGGAAAAAAATAAAAGTAAGACTAACAAGGCTTGTGAGACTTCATGAGACAAATATTGTTATTACCCCACGATGCGCTTGAAGATGCTGTGTTACTGAGGGATTAAGAAACTTGTCTGTAAGCCCAGTTCTGTCAGAATCTAGTCCTTGATCTCATAACCATTCTAATAAATGACAAAATGAGTACCTTTTGCTACTTAGCAGCACTTTATTCCTACTGAGTCAAAGTCAAGTCTGCCACAAATGGCATTTCCAAAATTATTTCCACTATGTTTAAGATCTGACTAAACCAAATCCCACCTCCTTCTTTTACCTGATGACTTCATGTACTAATTTTCAAAGATATTGAAACCATTTGATACAACCTCTTAATTCCCTTTCTCTCTAACTTACTTTCACCCACTCTCAGTACTTCATCTGTCTTCTCAGGAGATTTGTGCCAATGTCTTTCTAATGTTAATTTCCCCTACTAATTTTTTTTCTCCGGTGTTTGATTTCTACCCTTATAATTGGCTCCTCCCACTTTTGCCACCTGGTTCCACATTTGCTTCTTAAAAACATAGTCCTAGTGTTCTGCTATACTTTGAACTAACATTGCTGAAGGTTCAGTTAATACCTTTGTCACTGTTTATTCATCTTTCACTTTCACTTTTATGTAACTTTTAAATTCAGGGCTCCATACTAAAATTACTCCAAACTATATCTTCCCAAGCATAGGCCTCCTGGCTGTTCTGTCTTTGAACTTACATTGTATACCAAGACCAAGATATTGCAAATATCTTGACAAGGTGTTCACTGTATGACACCACCCAGCATTTTAGCTGTATTTCCCACTTCTACTGTATGCGTGTGTGTGAGATCAAATCTCTTTCTCTATATTGATACTTCTTTCTGAAATTACTCAATCTCTACCAATCAATAATGCTCCATTATTCGAAGGTAATTCTAAGCACCTCATATACTGTGACTCTCCTTAATTACACCTTTTATCAGAAATATACTTTCATTACTCTTTTGAAGCTTGAAACAGACTTTCCACTGTATTTATTTTAAAATGTGTATCATCTGATCCCTCTCTATGAAAAGCCCCTGGAGCCCCTTAAGGATAAGGACTGTGTGTAATTAATTTATCAAAACAAATTTTCAAATTTCAGAGGAGAACACAAAATATTTATGAAATGTCAGGGCAACACATATAACTCACATCGTTGTATCTTGTTTATCAATATCACCTCAGAGCCCAGAGAAAGCTTCTTTAATATTTTCTTTATTTTGAGTCCAAGATGGTAACATGAAGACCATCATTATTTTTATGTTGATGTGTTGAAATACAAGCAATAGTCAAAGCTCATCCTAGTGACTTGGGTACTTCCAAAAAATGAGGTAATAACATCTCCAGTAAACACTGGGATAAACCCACATAAGCTGACTAAACTCCATCATTATCAATCCCAGTCCTGGGTACAGACCAATGTTCTCATCTTGGAAGCAAGGTTGTTAAGAAGTGACAGCCTCATGAATTTTTAGTTCCAGTTTACTAGACAAGATTTCTGATTTTGCATGGTCTTTCAAAAGGGTGCAACCTGAAACTCTCAATGAAAAGAGGTGATACTTTTATTAACTTCAGTCACCAGTTGGTCATGATACACGTCTTGCCTTGACAACATAAAAAATATGTGTTTTCTCTCTCCTGCATCATTTGAATCCACATTAATATAAGCTGTTTTCTCTCAGGCTAAAAGATCCTTTCTTTTGACTCAATTTCCTTCCTCAGTTTCCATCTATGAATGTTTCCCCATGTTAAATTGTTCGATAAAATACAATTTTCTATCTTTGAAGCAATACTATCTCAAACAGAATTTTTTCTCAAGTTTTTCTCAAAATATCTTTTTAACCTGTAACTTTCAATGAATCCATCAGAAAAATATCTAAATGCATATATTACAAATATAAGCAAAGGATTATACTAAAATGTTCTTAAAGTAAGCATACAAATTCTATAAGCATTTCCTGTACTTTCCCTCAACTCCTATAAATAGAATCAAGAAAGACAAATCCAGCGTAATGTGTTACATTTGTGTTCACATCTAATTTACTTGTGTACGGTAATTCAGACATTTCTCTTAAATTTGACCCAGCAGTAGAAACACGTTTTAGTGTTCAGTCCTTTTGCATGGTTTGACTAAACAGGGAAGTCTGTGCAGGCACGAGTGTTTATAAGCTGGCTATACAAAGACTTACATTACACCAAATAATTTCTAATTATTATATCAAACCTTTCAGCTAATTAAGGCATTGATATATGTTATATATGTAATATAATATATGTTATATATTAAATTAAGATTATATATTATATGAAAAGCATCAGAAAAACCTGATGAGAAAATAAAAACATTCCAGTTATCTTAGGACATCCTTTATCTTTGATCCCTAATTGTCAGTTATTATATTCAATATAATGAATTGAAGATGTATTTCTTAGAGTTACTCCAGAAAGTTAAATGTCAATGAATTTTTTTTTCTTCATTAGGATATATTTTACTTAATAAAGTAAATAAACTGGATGCCTCAAGTACCTTTTCCAGACCTTCTTCCTTGAGGCTGATCACATCCAAATCAAAATCTGTTCGTAAGCCATTGGTTTTGTTGAAAGTTATTCTGCCTGTGAGGCCTTCCCAATGAGCCTAGGGGAAAACAAACAAACAAAAACCATAGATTAGTCAATAATAAAGAAAGAAAGGTAAACAGTTTTCCAAAAAAAATTAGGAAACATTATCTTCGTTACTTCTCATAAATTTACATTCTGCACATTTTTAATATTTAACATGTTTTATTCTCTTCTGAACTTTGAAGGAAGTTTTTTTTTCTAAATATGGTATTATAGTCTCAATTTATTGTAAATTTTTCATTTTAAATAATGTACTTTGCAGGTGTAACTTTCCTTTATGAGAAATTTGAGGAATATGTCTTAAATAGCAAACCTCTTTTAGCAGAGCGAGTAGAATTTGGTCACTTATTATAATATATGAGATAGTAAATATCTCAAATAGAACTGCTATTATAAAATACCACTGCTAACATCAGACTAAAATGAAAATAAACATTTCATTACAATGAAAGAAACTGAATCTAGAAAAAGCCACCTTATATTATTTTAATTATACACTTTCCACTAAGAATAATTAACTGATTAATTTATTTTACCTTACATGAGACTGGGAGAAATGTATCAAAATTCCTTCACATTCAGCTACACTTCCTGTAGAAGGATCTCACCAGGTGGAAGGAAGTGAGAGTATAATAATCTAGCTATACAATGGATTCATTCCTCAAAGGTGAGCAAATATTGCTGATTTTTTTAAATATAAAAAAGATTTTGCATTTGGCCCAAGTTAGATGTTTCATATTATTTGTCATTTGCAAATAGCTTGGAAAAATAGTTATATATGAAAAAGTTAAACCATGTAACATAGACTCTCAATTATGTTTGAAAGAATACATACCGAGAACAAAATAAGTGAAACCCAGGACGTTGATGGTAACATGTCAATAAGGATTACAAATGGGTATCGTTATTACTACATTTCTTAGGCTCCATGTGTCTCTTAGATATTTATTTGTAGGGATTCTAAAGTAGTTTTAGATTAATAAATTACAAGTAAAATAGAAAAAACGATAATATATATCTCTATGCATATTGCAACAAGTCAACACTGAGTTTAAAACGTGTTAACAGGTCTACAATAAGAAAGAGAAAAAAATTTAATTCAGTTTCTTCCAAAGGCAATAACTGCAGGTGGTTAACAAAACTGCATATTAGTATCAAAATAAGCCATGGGACCAAGAAGTACAGAAGCAGAAGTGTAGAGTAGTAAAACAAATCTGAGCTAAAGCCAGCACGAGGAAATGTACAGCAGGTGAAATTGTGCAACTAATAAATCCATCACATATTCAATTCTGAACTTTCCAGAAACCAAAGCAAAGAAGAAAATATGATGAAAACACAACATACATGATGTGTAATTTATGACGTTAACAATTGCCCAGGAGAAGCACAGCTTTTCCTGGTACTGAGGCCTGACATAAATGTCTCTTTTTGGTCCTCAGAAGGGCGCCCCTGTGTGATTTAGTGGACAAGGTCCCCAATAACACCCTACAAGAAATGCAATAGTGAGCTTCATACAACAGCTCCTTATAGGGCTGTCTGGCACATGTCTCAGTTGTCAAGTGCTGCCTTCAGGAAGAGCTTGTCTTCAACTAGCCACATCTGTCCGCTATGTTTGCAGCCCTCCGATGCCTAGTTTTACACCAGAAGTAAATGCAGGATGCGGCGCGATAAAAAACGGCATGATCTTCGGGAGTGTCATTTCACCTCTCTGAGAGCTCAGTAACAAGTAGACAAGGAAGATTCATGGGTATTCCTCGCCAAGGACCTAAAGATTCTTAATTATGATCTTATTTGCACTTTTACCTTCATGATGAATAATTTATTACACGATGAGCTGATGATTTCTTCTAAGACATTGATGAAAAAATCTTCTACGGCAGTAATATCTGTGACTTTTCACAGCAAAGATTAAACTTTAATAAAACTTTTGTATGAAAATTCCTGTTGCAATCAAATACAAAATAGCCTTAGCTGACAAAGGAATTTCTTTCGGGATAGCAAGAATGGGAAGTACGGGAAGAATATGAAGAATGTGTGTGTGTGTGAAGTGAGTGTGTGTGTGTGTGTGTGTGTGTTCTCTTTAAGAGCTTTCCCTTTTTTTCTCACTATGGGAACGCTTGATTTAAAACTCTAACAGACACAATTAGAAATGATATTCAGCCATAAAAATGGTTGTATTATACAACACGAAGTAGACTTTGCACTTTTATGAATGCATATATTCTGTTTTATGTTAACTCTAATACAATTAAAATAACTAGACGTTATTTTGAGGAACCGTAGCTCTAAAAAACAATTCTTTAAAACTTACAAATTGGGTGTAGTTTAGTGTAGTGCAAATGGCATTCATATTAAAAATTAATTCCCTATTTTGTGGCCTGCAACATAAACATTCTTTAAACATCTGTGTCTCCACATACACAAAAAGTAACACACATAAAGATTCAGAAAGGTGAAAACTTGAAAACTAATAATGTCATAAATGACAGGTCACTGATTTTCATATTTACACAATCGTAGATATTTTGTAGGAAATCCATTTATTTGTTATGTATTTTTTTCCCTTTGTCCATATTATTTAGTAAAAATGTTAATTTTGCTTGTATAGGGGAAGAGAGAAAGTTTAATTTAAAAGATAAGAGTAAAAGGCCACCTGTCAGGAAAACTGCAAAAATCTCAGTTCAGTCAGTCTGAGGACAAGCAAGACAAGACTTGCTTCTCCTGACTCACCTCTTTAATTAGGCTCATGAAGCGGGTCCCGAAGCGCCAGGGTTTGTGCCGATTGCACTGTAGGGAGCTGACTGTCATCTGGGGAAACTGCTGGACACCCACAGACACCACGTGCACAGCATCGTACATGAGAGCAGCATCGGTCTGAAAGCCGAGACAAAAGGAAAAATGGAGTCAATGCAACATGTGAAGCCCGTAAGTGATCTGGAAATGCAAAGAGAGAAAGAGTGAAAGAAATAGCCAGTTTTTCTTTTTGCAAGGGAGAAAACAGTCTCTCCATATGGTGTGGTTCTCTTAAATAAGATAACGTGATCATGTCACTACACGGGCTCCAGTAGAACTTCTGATCTACCCTCCCTTTCCTGAAGTGATAACCCAATTTCAGACCATCCTAGTTTCTCTGTTGAAGTAGGAAATGTGTAAGAACATTAATTATTTCATTTTTTTGTCACATCCTCTGTCTGTAGCTTACTCTGCCCCTCTACATGCATGCCCGTACGCAGGTACACACACACACACACGAAATGCAATTGTGAACATTTTGAATGATAACATAAATTACATATTAAACTTAAGAATAAATAAGTAAATAATTTCCTTGTATAGGAAGAAAAGAAGAGGTTTGAAAGGAGAGTCACTCAAAAAGGTTAAAGATACAAACCCTAATTTTGTCTTCAATTCAGCTTTTCAAAAGGTTCAATCTCAGAAATGATGCCAAAGTTTTGAATCTCAATACATGTGTTAATCCTTTTTCAAGAAACTAAGCTTAATCCCCTGTACTATTTTCTTTTCTCAAAATTTCCATATGAATAAAAGTTCATTTTGGCTTCTCGAGTAAAGCGAATACGAATTCTACTGTGCTTGCACCTGCTCAAATGACCGACCGCTTTAGAGGTGGATGATTAAAAATAAAATGTTTATAAGTCATAACAAACCAGAGGCTCAGTGACTGTCAAGTGCTGTGTTAAATGGACCCTCACATTGTGTTCGACGGATCGATGCCAGGCTCACTACCTACAGAAGAGAGCCACACTGACAATGCTGCTAGCAATGAACTTTGGGCCATCTGCTTGGCATGCTTCGGAATAAAAGCATGTATTTCCTCTTCTCATTCACACAATTAGTGAGCTGTGAAATGAATTCCAAAATGAATAGGAACCCTGTAGATTATGGCGTTTGCTACAATACAATACAAAATGAGCACACACGGTGGCTTTCATGCAAATGAATCCTAAGGAACTTTACCACATAAAGTGGAAGATGGCTAAAGAGCACAATGCAATGACAGAACATAATAATGCCATTTTATAGTTCATCAGTCTTTGGGGAATGCAGCTCAGATTCATAACCTGCATTGGTAAATATCAGCTGACTACTTTCATATCCTCTGATGGCTGCAGAGTGAAGACCGGAACAGACTGGATACAGGCATATCTCATGAGCCTGAGGGTCAGGCTGATACTTGTCTTAACATTCAGAGGACCTATTTTACAGACCACACAGGTGATCGTCAAAAAGTTACTCAGATATGAAAGACATATTTGATTTTAAAAGAAAATGACTTTTTAGAATATATCACTGCCCACAAATGTGTAGAGATACGAACACTTTCAGCTACTACTAGAGGGAAGATAAAGGGTAATTTTGCAAGTTGCACCACAAGGGAGTTTTTAAAAAATATTCAGTTTCTTTCTAACCCAGTCATTTCTCTTCCTGGAATTTGCCCAGGGAAAATCAAAGATAAGAACTAAAGCTACATACATTATTTATTTTAAAAAATAAAGAAGTGTGGAAACCTATTGAAGGTTCAAAATAAGGGCACACAATAAAATCACAATAATATTTTATATAAACATTAAAAATCATGTTTTCAAAACTAATCAGAAGAAAAATTGCATGTGATACGATGCTAAGTGTAAAAATAGATTATACAGAACTGTATTTCCATCATAAACCATCATATACATCTTTATGAGTACTTAATATATTACTAACTTATTTAATCCTCACAATAATGGTTTAATTACAAAGATTGATATTGTTCCCATTTTATAAATGACAAAACCAAGGTTGAGAGAAGTTAAGTAACTAACCAAAGTCACACAGCTAAGAAGTGGAGAGGTCCAGATTCAAACAGCCTCTCTACTCATAGTAAATATTCTTAAACATCATACTACATATTATATGAACAACAACAACCAAAAAAAAAAATCAAAAGGAAGAAAATACACTGAAATGATACTAATGATTACTCTTGGGAGTTAACCGTGAGTAGAATTTTTTTTTTCCTTTTTATTTTTTTACAGTTTTTTAAGGTGAAAATTTACTAAATACCTCTGCAATTATTCCTAAGATGGAAATTTTTATCTATTGCCACAAAATAACTAAAAGAACACAAACTGTGACATTCCTACTATCCTGCCATGACTTACGGACTTACATGATCTTATGTGACTTATATGAAAGTCCTAGAATCGTAACCTTATCTAAAACTAACAGTGCTAGGAAAAAAAAAAAATTTGCCTAATTAAGAAATTTGAAAAACATTTTTGGTACATAGGTTCAACTTCAAGATCAGAGGATATACTAGTTGGTAATAAAACAATCTATATGTGATTTTTAAATGTAGTTATAAAAGGAAGACAATAATTATTAAACTATAAGATAAATACTAGAGAAAACTGTAAATAGTTAAAAAGTTGGTGATTAAATTTCCTCTGGAATTTCCAGTTTAAAATATGTTGATTTATTATAAATCAAAGAATAGAACTTCTGAAACTACCCTCTATGATATTTCCATCTGCTTGTGGTGATTTTCTTGTCCTACTTTCAGACTAGCTGTTTTATGTGATAATATGGAGTTGTTTTCCATTTAGACTTGATATCCTGTCAGATTTACCTTTCTTGTCTTCTTTGCAAAACTGTACATATGTAAATTCTTTCACCTTTGAAAAGTTTTGAGAAAACTGATTTATCAAAAATGTTTTTTCTTATTTTCATAAGAATGCATATGCTTGAAAACTTGCCTTAATTTAGTATTATTGCTAGTTAATGTTCATTCAGTATTTACAATGGGTAAGGCACTCTCTTTAAATCATTTCCTTTAATTCTCATAATCATCATGCAGTTGGAAATTCATTGAATCTGTATAAAAAAGGGAATGGAAGCAGAGAACAGTTAAGTAACTGGTCTAAAGTCGTAGCCTATAGGGGTAGAGCTGGATTTGAATTCAGACCGTTTATCCAGAATTGACATCCTCTCTCTAGTTTTTTTTTTTTCCTCAGTGCTCTACATTTAATAAAGCAAAACCTTTTTAAATTATTTTGAAGTTACAAAATATAAGAAATATCAATAAGCACTTGAATACATTATATAAATTTGATAAGCAGTAAATATTCACAGAATGAAGATATACTGCAAAGTAAGAAAAGGGAGGGATTGTGAAGAATTGATAAATATTAATTCACAAAAAAAGAAATACATGAATATATGGGATTGAGTCAATAATAGGTTAGTTAGAAAGTTAGTAACGTTAACTAAGAACAATGTCATGAAAGAAGTAGATTTATTTTATACAGTTGCTGCTCACTAGATTTTCAAAAGGCAAAAGTCCGAGAATCTCTTTCAAGATCAAGCTTGAGGGAACATCTCAACTCCCAGCTCTCAGTTGTGGAGTTTGAGCTGCTCCTGCCAAGTCTTCCACCCTCTCATACTGACTCTACAATCCTTTGCCTTGACTCTTCTCTTGATGGAAAATAGGAGGAAAGAAGGGAGGAGTAGAACAGAAGAAGAGAAAAGTACAGGCTAATTTCTTTGTCATCATTTTTGTAATATTATTATTACTACTGAGTTACATTGCATGCTTACTCTATACCACACAACTGCATCAATTTCTTTACATGCATCTCACAAAGACTCAATGTTTTAGGTGACATGACTATTATTATTTTGGAGAGGAGAAAACTGAAGCTTAGAAAGGTTCAACTAATCCTCTCAAGGACTCATCATCTCGAGAAACAAGACTCAGGAAACAAGATTTAGGCAAAATTTAGCTCTTAGAATTACTGTCCAAGCTATCATAACAAGACCCTGGCAAAAAGAGACTCAGAAACAGAACTTAAAAACAAGATTCAGGCAAGGCTTAATTCTTAGAACCACCATCCTAACCACCATAACCATAACCTAAACCATATTCCTACTGAAACAATAACAGGCAATGGAGGGAAACTGATGGCAGCAGGTCTCATAGTTTTGAAGGCTCTGCTGAATACCAGACAATTATGTCCCACAGAGAGTATGTCTCTTAACTGAGATTCAAATAAAAGTTCATTTGGCTCCAAATCAGACTTTTTCTTTGTACATCACAGCTACCTCTTAAAAAGAGCTTAAGAGTTAAACATGACTATAATTCAACCAATTAAATTTAAATGGACTATGTGTACAATTTGGTTATTAAAATCCATAGGAAGGGGCTAAATAACGTTGTAGTCATCCAGATTCTAAACTACAAAGACAAAAGTTAGGCAGAGAGAGAGAAAAAAAAAATCATCAACAAAGACAAAACAATGTTCTATTTTCTCTCTTTCAAGTATAATTACTCATTTATATATAAATAGATCACACTTATTGGAAAGCTAGAATATCTGTTCACCCTGGGAATACAGCCCAGAAGGACGCTCAGTCTAGGGAGGAACAGACAGAGCCAAGTGTGGACTTCCACGCTTCATGCTCGGTCAAGCATCTATCAGTAGCAATAGGAGCCCCCTTGAGGGCCATCTCCAACTAGATTTGAGTTGGAACTCTATTTTACTTGCCAAAATAAGTTAGTTAACCTACAAAGAATGTCTGCCGGCCAAAAACTTGTTTTGCAAACCTTTGAAAATGTGCAATATAGTCCTACACATTTCAGTAAAACTACAGTGATCTTTTTAAACAGGTGGCTTTGAAAAATCTCAAGAAGTGCCTTCTCATATATTTTAAATATGTGTTAACCATTCCCTAACTTATTGCTGGGTTTATCTTATACCTGGAAAATTACTTTTAGGCATAGAGTGTGTAATAGGAATGCAGGTGGAAGAGTGACAAATGCTAATTTCTGTGGTTGAGTTATTGCCCCAGGAATTGGTTTAGTCACCCAGTGCTAT